TTCGCCACTCTCATTGCATCTGCAAAAAATCGCCCAGCAGCCCTGTTTAGAGTGACCCGCTCCCTCCTTAATCAGGGAGTGAGGGAGGACCCCTTACAGGGCCGTGCTGAGGACTTTGCACAGTTTCTGCAAGATAAAATCACTCAGATTCGGACCGGGTTGGACTCCGACTGGACAGAGTCCGTTGAGGTGACAGGGCCTAGTCTCGGTGGAGACATCTGGGTTGAGTTTGAGCCTGTTTCATTGGATGACGTGGAGAGGATTATGGGTAAGCTGGGGTCTTCCACATGTTTACTGGACCCTTGTCCCTCCTGGCTTGTTTCGGCAGCCAGGGAGGTGACTGGAGACTGGATCCAGGCTATTGTCAACGCTTCACTAAAGGAAGGGGTCTTTCCCGCTGCGCTTAAAGAGGCGGTGGTTCGACCCCTCCTTAAGAAGCCTAACCTGGATCCTGACGTACTTAACAACTACCGTCCAGTCTCCAACCTTCGCTTTTTAGCGAAGGTTGTTGAGTCCGTGGTGGCACAGCAATTCCCTCAATTCCTGGAGGAAACTGACTACCTGGATCCTTACCAATCTGGTTTCAGGCGTGGCCACAGCATGGAAACGGCATTGGTTGCCCTAGTAAATGATCTCTGGCGGGCCAGGGATGGGGGTTGCTCCTCCATCCTGGTCCTTCTTGACCTCTCAGCGGCATTCGATACCATCGACCATGGTATCCTGCTGCAGCGGCTCAGGGGGATAGGGTTAGGAGGCACTGTTTTACAGTGGTTCTCCTCCTATCTCTCGGGCCATCTGCAGTCTGTTTGGGCGGGGGGTCAGGGATCCTCCCAGAGGCCTCTCACTTGTGGGGTGCCTCAGGGCTCGGTTCTCTCTCCTCTGCTCTTTAATATCTATATGAAACCGCTGGGTGAGATCATCCGTGGTTTTGGGGTGAGGTATCATCAATATGCTGATGATACCCAGCTTTACATCTCCACCCCTGACCACCCTAGGGATGCTCTTTCCGTGATGTCCCACTGCCTGGAAGCGGTGCGGGTTTGGATGGGGAGGAACAGGCTTAGACTCAACCCTTCCAAGACTGAGTGGCTGTGGATGCCGGCATCCCGGGATCTGGAGGTTCCATCCTTAATGATCGGAGGTGAAACCCTTGCTCCCTCCGACAAGGTCCGCAACTTGGGTGTCCTCCTGGATTCTCGGCTGTCTTTAGATGACCATCTGACGGCCGTAACCAGGGGGGCCTTCGCACAGGTCCGTCTTGTGCGCCAGTTGCGCCCGTTCCTAGACCGGGATGCCCTCGCCACGGTCACTCACGCCCTTGTTACCTCTAGGTTGGACTACTGTAACGCCCTCTACATGGGGCTGCCCTTGGGATGTGTCCGGAGGCTTCAGCTAGTCCAAAATGCAGCCGCGCGGGTAGTTACAGGGGCATCTAGATACTCCCGTGTAATACCTCTCCTGTGTGAGCTGCACTGGCTACCGGTGGCACTCCGGATACATTTCAAGGTGCTGGTGCTCACCTATAAAGCCCTTCATGGCTTAGGCCCGGGGTACTTGCAGGACCATCTCCAGCCGTTCTCCCATCGTCCTGTGCGCTCTCACAGAGTCGGCCTCCTCAGGGTGCCATCGGCCAAACAATGTTGGCTGACGACCCCCAGGGGGAGGGCGTTCTCTGTGGGAGCCCCGACCCTCTGGAATGGATTTCCCACTGAGCTCAGGACAGCCCCCGACCTTCTTTCCTTCCGTCGTGAGCTGAAGACGTGGCTCTTCCGCCAATTAAACTGATCTGTTTGGGGGTACACTGGTATAATTTTAAATCGTTTTTAATTGGGTTACTGATTTTAATTTGGTATTGTATTGTGATTTGTATTGAAGTTGTCATTTTGTAAGCCGCCTTGAGTCCCTAGGGAGAAAGGTGGCATATAAATCGCAATAAATAAATAAATAAATAAATAAATAAATAAATTTTTCACATTTCCATTTTGAAAGTCTAAAGATTTATACCCTGTTTCCATGAAAATAAGACCCAACCAGAAAATAAGTCCTAGCATGATTTTTCAGGATGCTCGTAATATAAGCCCTACCCCCAAAATAAGCCCCAGTTAAGATTGTCAGCCAGATGGGTGCATTTAGTACCGTATTTCCCCCAAAATAAGACCTAGCCAGAAAATAAACCCTAATGCGTCTTTTGGAGCAAAAATTAATATAAGACCCTGTCTTATTTTGGGGGAAACATGGTAACAAATGAACATCACTAATATAACACTTCTGCAGAGACTCAAAGGACTACACAAATACACAGTATTGTTGCACATACTGTTACATGCCACTTTGGTAGTCATGAGCTGGTAAGAGACCATTTGCCACCAACTGTTAAGTTGTGCTTGGCAGTGATTTTGACAGACACCTGGAGCTACAAGTTAGGCATTCTTTAAGATCACTACAGGCTTTGTTCCAGGATTTATGCAGGTGAGTTCACTTCTAGTTTGCCCATTCAAAGCAAGACCGAGTTCTGACAGTGCTTCCACTGTGATCAGTTTTTTTTAAAAAAAAATTATGATCCCTTCCAAGTTGCTCAAGATCCCACTGGGGGCACGGTTAGTGGTGGTGGTTTAAGAACCCACAATTGGAGAATCCCTGAAATAGAAAATAGAAACTAATTTCCTAAAACATCTGACCAGTGGTTTCCAATCAAGGTGCTGCAATCAACATTTGACTTTCAGGGATACAAAGGAGTTCAAATGTCAAAATGCAAATATTAAATCAAAAGCCTCTGGAGCTCTCTTTTAGGCATACAATAAGCATTATAGATGTACAATAAATTCAGGTTTCTTTATGGTTCGTATTGATATCTCGCCTTCTCTCCAGCAATTCAGAAGGATTTACCATATTTTTCGGAGTATAAAACGCTCCGGACTATAAGACGCACCTACCTTTTTTGGGGAGGAAAACAAAATATACGCTAGTGCATGGATATGGAAAATAATATGAAATTTTACCAGTTTGGAACTGTTTTAATTTTTTTTCTTTGCATAGATTGGTATTGTAATCGGAATCAGTAAGTTATTCAGCACGCAATCTGTTAGATGTAAAGCTTTCCCCCTCCTCTCTTTATTTTCCTTCAGGTAACATTTTAATTAAGTTAAGTGAAATGCTTTTTAAATTCCAGCTAATTGTTGATTCTAGACAGAAATTTTACAACAAAAGGACACAAAGAAAAAAATAAGACTCATAAAACACTCACAATAACTCTGCCTCTGCCTCCCAGCAATTTGCCTTGCAGCAAACAGCAAACAGCCTGCTTTAGTTTCGTTTTCAGCCTGATTAGCACAGAAAAAAAAAATCTGTCTCCCAGCAATTTGCCTACTTGCAGTAGAAGCCCTCGCAGCAATAGGCAATGGCAATCCCTGCAGCCTGAAACAGCTGAGGGTCGGGAGGCTGATCCAACCGACAATCAACTGCTTGTACTAATCAGTGTGAAGCTGAAACAAGCTGTTTGCTGCTTGCTGCAAGGAGGTAAATTGCTGGGAGGCAGAGGCCAAAGGGTGTGGGCTAGCGGGTGGGCGGGGCTACATTCGGACTATAAGACATACCCAGATTTTCACCCTCTTTTTTTGGGAAAAAAAGTACTTGCTCTTCCAATTTCTCCCCACAATAGCAACTTTGTGAGATAGTTTGAGGTGATGATCTGTATGATCATCCAGTGAGCTTCTGTGGCCTGTGTCTCTCCAGTCCTAATAAGATCACTACCATCCCATACTTCTGGCTTTACTGTCATGATTTATTATCAAATGGGTATCTGCCCTTGAAAAACTATTTTTCCTAATTCAAACTTGTGTGTGTGTGTGTGTGTGTACCATGCTTAAATAGAATAGCCATTCAAATCTAGGAATAACAGAATAACAAGAGTTGGAAGAGATTCTCTAACTCAATTTGGGAGGAAATTCTTCCATTACCGAGAAAAAAAAAACAAATTATAGTAAGCGGTCAGTGTTCAAATGAACACTGAACCTACAGCCCAAATGAAGAAGGCCAAGAGTTGCAGATCTCTTCGTCTTCCTCCTGATAAACCAATTCTCTAAAACAAATAACTGTATCCATTATTTTCCATACTGTTTGGATAGGATTAAATGGAAAGTGTTTCATTATTTCTGGAGAACTCATTCTTCCCAGAAGGTTGAAGATGAAAGGGATCACATTAAAAGCAATGAGGGCATAAAATATAAAGATACAGTGCATGGCTGAAGATAGGAATTAGAAAACAGGTGCTCCAGAAAAACAACTGGTTCTGAAATGGATAGAATCTAATGCCCAACAATCTGTGATGTTGGAAAGACTTATTGCCTTAAATCAAGGAGCATCTGGCAAATCAAGGAAGAGGATTTGTTGTTTATCATCCTCGGCAAGTTATTTAATGTTAGTGGAAGAAAGCACCCTTCCATAACTATATCCATATATGTCCTCATGCCAATATTGTGTCTAATAACTCATCCATCCTTTTCCATCACAAACCACTAATGTCTCCAAATTAAGGGAATGAATGGTAAAAATGAAACAAGCTGAATAATTGATTCACGTGAGACATTAACCAAAAAAAACCAAGACTTCAGAAAGAGAAGCAAAACACAAAAAGGGCAAACACTTTTTTGAAGCAAAATATGAACTTTTCATTGTGTGTTTGATCATAAACCACTCAGAGTCCTTTAGGTAGTGAGGTGGGCGGTGTATAAATCTGATAAAGAAATAAATCCCTCATTTTCTGAGGGGATGGCTCAAATGGAAGGACAAGTCACCAAAAGGAAACAAACTGGATTATTCATTCATAATGGTCCAGCAAACAGCCCGATAATTGACCTGCTGCAGGGACAGAGGGGAGCATGTTCAGTGCAATTTCAGAAAATATGTAATCTCTCCAATTTATTCTTTTGATTCCTTATTATCAGAAATGATGAACTATTACCAAAGGGAGGGGGAGAAGGGAGAAAAGAAATTCAACTTACTAGGAACTCTGTTAATGGCTCTCAAAGGCCGGAGTACCCTGACTGTCCGAACAGCTGAGAAACTGACATTCTGCAAGTCCAAAGAGTATTCCAGCATGCTGCAAAATAAGTACATATGCAAATATATTATATGTATATCTCATAAACAGAGGAAACATTTCAGAATTCTGCAGGAAAAAAAACCAGATGAAGCATCCAAACCGAATATACATATACAGTCATTTTTTTAAAAAAAAACTACAGCGACCCACTATTGGATTTCTCCCCATCAAGGAATATTCCTAGAGGAATTCATTTATGAGTCATTTGCATACCAGATTTAAGTTTGTGAATCAAAGCTATTTTGAAAAGTGTTTCCTCATCTTTATTTTGGTTATTTTCTAGGCGATCAGGGAAGTTTCCCAAAGTTTATTGTACTTTGTAGAATGGATAAATTTGTCCATGCAGCATAAAAACAATATAAACTAACTAAAGCTTTCAAATTTGGATTTTGTTTCCAACATATGGGAACTATCCAAAAGTGATCCAAGGTATAGGATCTACATTTTGGGGCCTATCTTGGAGCAAGATATTTGTAGAAATATGAATTATCCCATGAAACCATGTTTACATAAGTGCTATTTGCTGTCAGCCTGAAGACTCTTTTTAAAGCAATAATTTGGGGAAATTCTTTCATTACTCAGTTTGCATTCATCTGCACTTCTATTCAAAATTCCACTGTCCAAACAATTTAGTTTCTTTCTTTGCTTCAGATCCTTTTCCTGGCTTCTCATTCCCTTCTCCATCTGGTGTTCTGTCTTCTCTACAAAGTGATTCACAGTTTTCCAACTTTTAGCTTTTGTTTGTGCTTATTACTTCTTTCTTTGTGACTTCCTTTCTTTCCACAAAACAAAAATCTCTGCTCGACTCAACACTCCTTTCATTTAGTTTTCTGGTTCTAGAAAACACCCATCCTTGGATGTGTAGGAGATGCTCTTTCTCTCCCTTTCCTCAAACAGAATGGGGCAACTTGCCATGGCCAACTCACCATGGCCAACTCCTCATAGCCAATTTGCTGCAGTCAACTCTCTACAGCCAACTCGCCACAACTTGTCACAGGACAAGTCCACAAATACAAAAGTTAAATTAATTTCAACAGAATAATAATAAAACAAATAAGGTCAATTCAGAAATACAAGGCTTACAATAATTTTGATGAAAACATGGTCACCAATAATAAAAGTAGCTGAATGAAATTATTAATACAGCTTTGAATTGTCCCATAGCAAGTTGGCAGTAGCGAGTTGTCCCACTGGGATTTGGCTGTGGCAAGTTGGCTACAGCGAGTTGGCTGCAGTGAGTTGTCCTAAACCTTCCTCAAATCCATTCTCATAGTCCCTCTAAGAGTGTATCTAATAGTTCACTTTACAGACCATACAGTCCTTCATTTGCCTCTATTCCTTCCTCCCACTCTCTTATTCCTGTGATAGGGCCCACTCTCTGTCTTAAAAGGCTGTACTAAAGCTATAAAGTTCCAAGTACACTGATAATTCAGAATAAAATAGCAAGAACATCATTTATATTTTGCAATTGCTCTGAAAGTTCCAGGCATCTCACAGGGAGGTCTTTCCAAATTTTATCCAAAACAAAGTTACTAGTCCAAAGACATGAATTCCATGGCTGAGGGTAGACTAACACCTGTATCCTCACAGTACTAATCTAGCACTTCGATCATTTTCCAGGTTCCATTATTCTTTTTCAAGTCTCTTGGAAAGCTAAGAACCGAGAACCAAGAACTTCTGCATCACCATGAAGAGTGTCCGGATTCAAAGAAAGAAGATACTTAGGGAGACTATTCCTTCCTTTCTCCTTTTTGAATTCAGCAGCCACCCATCTGCCTGTCTACGTAAGCAACAAGTATTCAAGGTTCTATAATAAGTAGGATAAGCTATGATCAGATTACATTTCGTTGGAAAAGCTGTTCAGATGTAATTGCTAGTATTTTTTCCTGGTGCTCCAGTAAGGAAAATGGTTTCTGAAATAACTTACAAATCACATGCACACTTGTACCGTACTTTAGATATGATGGTGTATAATTTTTCTTACTGCTACGTAAGTGAAAAAATAATTTATGGTGCAGCCTTGGAGAACAGCTAAACACTTTCACATCATGATTCTGGAAGATGCCACATGACATAATCTCTCTGTTACATCGTGAAATGTATTCAAAAACTCCATATAATTTACCATGTCTCCTTTGCTCAAGCACAGTTCCTGCTATTTGGGAAGCACATTTTAAAAGTTATTTAAAGATAGAGCTGCGCAATTAAATTTAATAGTAGTTCTGAATCATTGCAATGAGAAATGGATCTCACCACTAGGGACTGCCCTGAGATAGTCTGATACTTCCAGCTAGCAGAGCCAGCTAACAGGTTGATGGAAACTGCAGCCTTCTAATATCTGAAATGCTGAAGCTGTATTTTTCTAATGCAGACAGTTCCCAAATCCTGCTTTAAAAATTCAGCCAATAATGTATGCACTATTAAAGAGTACAGCTACAAATACAGCTAGGACAGAGCCACTAGATTAAAGCTACCATAGCCTACTGCAAAAGTATCTGCAAAAGTTCCATGTTTAATCTCCAGTTCCTCCAAGTAGACCTAAGCAGGGCTCCTGAAGAGCTGCTGACTGTCAGTGTAGGTAGTGCTGAAATAGATAGGCAAATAGCATGACTTGAAATAATGCAGCTGCCTATATTTTTCTTTAACAGCCCAGTAAACCTCAGTCAAGCTCCAGGAAACTGAGAATCTTGCCATGACAAGGACTTTGCAGAAGTCCTAAAGGTGCTTTTTTCAAGAGGCAACTGGACTTTCTTTGAAAACGTTTCATTTCTCATCCAAGAAGCTTTTTCAGCTCTTGGATGAGAAGAAAAACATCTTAGAAGAAAAACCGGAAAGTCCAGTTGCCTCTTGAAAAAAAGCACCTTTGAGACAACCATGACTTGGATGACTGAGAATTTCCATATATGACTTTGCAGAAGGGAGGTTGAATGGAGATCATCAGAGAGCCACAGGACAGCCACCACTCACGGCTCATCAATGTCCCATTTCTATGTGTTATCTCACCAAGCGCATACCAGTGCTTGATGAGGAACAGCAACATAATTTGGAAGGATAAAATAAAATTCATAGCATGGCAAACATTATAGCATCATAGGATAAGAACCATGTTACTCTATGGCAGCCCCAAATCGCCAGGAGTTTAGTAACATCTTTTCTAAATAACAAATTTTATTACGAGGCATATGTTTTTGTGAGGACAGCTTATTTCATCAAGTGCAGTGGAGTGGCTAGATGGATTTAAATTGGGATATGATGTTGATGTGCCTTTGAGTTAGCCTTGACTCCTAGGGACTGCCTGGACTAATCCCTGTAGGTTCCCGCTACCTCTTGGCAAGATTTTGGAAGAGCCAGCTCAGTGTAGTGATTAAGGCATCAAGCTTAATCAAAAAAGAGGCACAGCAGACTAAAGCACTGTTAAGTAACATCAGCTGCCTGCAATTACTGCAAATTCAAATCTCACCAGGCTCAAGGTTGACTCAACCTTCCATCCTTTCAAGGTAGGTAAAATTAGGACCCGGTTTGCGAGGGCAATAAGCTGACTTTGTATAAAAAAAGAACACCACTTGGGGGGGGGGCAAAAGCCCTACTAAGCAGGTATATACAAAAGTATGAAGGCTATTGCTTAACGCATTGTAAGCCGCCCTGAGTCTCCGGAAAACGGCAGCATATAAATCGAACCAATAAATAAATAAATAAGCTAGAAACCCAGAAAGTGCTGAGTTCTATTCCCTGCTTAGGCACAAAGCCAACTGGGTGACATTGGGTCATTCTCTCCCTCTCAATCCCAGGAAGGAGGCAATGGCAACCACTTCCGAAATCTTGCCAAGAAAACTCTTAAAGCATCATAAAAAGTTGCCCACAAACGCAAATTAGAATGGTTCACTTTGTGCTGACTGGAAGCTACTTAGGGCATGTGAATAAAAATTGCTGTAAAGAGAAGGAATCCAGAAGAGGTCTTGATGCCTACGCTGATGAAAAGGTTGCCATTATTCTGTAGTCCTGTAACCCCCAACTCTTCCTGCAGTTGCCTCTGGCAATGGGCAAAGATGTTCCCCCTGTCCAAAAAAGATCTCACATCCCTAAAAGGAAAGCGAAAAGATTTGAAATGACAGTGGCATTGGGGGACTTTTTAAAAACTCTACTTGCAATCCCCATTCTTGATTATTCCAAGACTTATTTATAATGTTATAGTTAACATTGTTTTTCAATTATTAATAGTATATACATGCATTTTTCAGAATGAGAAGATGCATCAAGGTGACAAAGTATAAAGAACTAATGGCCCTTTGACAAATACTGAGCACCTCCGCTAGCTGGAATTCCCGTAACCATGGTGTTGTGCACACACACACACACACACACACATGCTGCCCAAGGCAGTGTAGTCACTCTACACTGATGAAAGTGGGAGAGGTTATTACTGGGTATACATGGACTTGTTTTGTGTGAATTAGCCACAAGATGGCTCCCTGAGCTGAAGTATCATGTATGCCCTGGTAGGGTGTAAGTGATCAAATGGGAAGAAATTGGATTGGAATCTAAGCCTAGCCCTGATTTATTCCTTCAAAGGGGTTTGGATGCAGGCCCATGGACCTCCTTTTCTATTGAGATGGCGGTGCGGGAGATGCTTGGAAAAGACCAGTTTAAACCATCATGAACATAAGGCTGGAGCTTTATGTATGGATTAGAAATTATATACTTTCCTTTGAGCAGCAGGCTCTCAGCAATCTATTTTCTAAGGATAGGAAGAAAAATATATATGTATATTTAATTTCTGGTGTATGTTTTGGCCACCCTATCTAGAAAAGTCTTTACTACAATCCAGTGTTTCTAGAGAGTACGATCAAATGCACTGAATTGTGAATAAGATTTACCAAACACAAGAGGTTAAGCTCTAAGTACAGGTAGCCTATCAGCATCTGTTTTATATCCCACCTGTCCAGCTCAATGGTTTCTATACTGACTGGCAGAGGCTGCTCAGAGGCTCAGACAAGACT